GAAGAGCGTAATCGAAGGAGTGGGTTTAGGAAATGAAAGAACAAGGGCGGATATAAATAACTGGCATGTCACGTCAGAGAGGACACGGAACTGTATTGACCTCTGGCAAGAATAAAAGTGTTCGAGAAGCTACTGGAAGCTGAAAAGCGACAGAGTAAGGAAGCATTTTTTTTTTATTACGGAGATGGTACAAAGAAGGCAAGTACGTGGTTGATAAACATTTACAGAATTTTTTCCTTGTATATTTGATAGTGAATGTGCCCACAGCGATGCCAACAGATCAACAGGGAACTGACTCTTGCTACAGTAAGGGACATCAGCTCCACGGACATTTCTAATGTACTGACTTCACTTAGACCCCCCCCTAAAGGCCCAGCGCCGAAGAATAGATTCTTTTGAACTATGGTGCTGGAGAAGACTCTTGAGAGTCCCTTGGACTGCAAGGAGATCAAATCAGTCAATCCTAAAAGAAATCAACCCTGACTGTTCCCTGGAAGGCCAGATAATGAAACTGAAGCTCAAATACTTTGGCCACCAAATGAGAAGGGAGCACTCACTGGAGAAGACCCTGATGCTGGGAAAGATTGAAGGCCAAAGAAGACGGGGACGGCAAAGGATGAGATGGTTAGACAGTGTCATCGATGCAACGAACATGAAATTGAGCCAACTTCAGAGGACGGCGGAAGACCAGAAGGCCTGGCGGGATCTGGTCCATGGGGTCGCGAAGAGTCGGACTTGACTGTGCGACTGAACAACAACAACAACTTCTCCCCAATAGGGACCCAAAGCGGCTTACATCATTCTTCTCCCCTTCATTTTCTTCTTCTCCCCTTCATTTTCTCCTCACAACACCCCTGTGAGGTAGGTTAGGCTTCACAATTCGTATTTTGTAATCTTGCAATGGCCAATGGCTAATTACGATAAACTAAACCGGAGGTTAGGCTTAGAGTGTACCGTATAGTCTCTCGTATGGCGCTGTGTGTAGCGTAGCCAGGAGATCCTAAGATTGTCTGGCAGCTTTAAGTTCTAGCCCTTTTTTGCATATGCGCCACGAGGTGGCGACCTAGGTTTATTTGGGGGTGCTGAGAGAGCTCTGAAAGGGCTGTGACTGACCCAAGGTCATTTAGTGGGCTTCAAAGGGGAGGAGTGAGAAACTGAACCCAGTTCTCCAGGTTAGAGTCTGCTGCTCTTTGCCAGTACTCCGTGCTGGCTGAGAGTGTGTGACTCGCCCAAGGCCACCCAACTAGCTTCCATGGCAGAGCTGGAGTAGAACCTGGGTCTTCCAGACCCTACTCAGACCTTCTACCCACTATTATTATAATTTAAAACATTTTTACCCGGCCTTTCCACCCAGATTAGGGTCCACCACACTACACTGGCAACCAATGTTCCCTCTAAGCCGTGGAGCCTTGTGAGCAAAAATTCCACTTTGTGAGCTCCTGGCATTAAAATTGTGAGTGAGTGATTTGGCTGCTGCAGAAATTAAGTTTGCTCTGGAGCCGTCCTCCCTGAGCGGAGACAAAAATGTGTGAACTGGAGGCTAAAAAACTGTGAGCCGGCTCACACTAACTCAGCTTAGAGGGAACACT